GAGAAGGCAGGCCATGTGCTTGTTGATAAAGATCTGACTTTTTTCTTCTCTGGTAACATTAGTGGAAGAGCTTTGGCTCCAGCCTGAGGATTCACAAAATGATGTGTGTTTTCAAAACATGAATGCTTTGACTTCTGACTTAACTTTATTTGATGTTTTCTGAAACCAGAAAACAATTGAAAATAATTCTAATCCAGTTCAGGCTGTAATGGGATCAGAGTCATTTTTGCTCTGATCTCTGATCAAGGGCTTTTCAGCTCTTCAATCTTCCAACTTCCTTGATCTACACTTACTTATCTGAATCTCAAGTTGCAGTGAACATTATGGTCCTGATCTACCTTTGTTTATCATCAATAATTGTATTCCCCCCTCCCTTTCTACTGCTTTACTGGTGTAAGAATTAAAATTAGTCAGCTACTTTTAGCATGAACTGAATTTTATAAATAGTCTCCAGATTGTGTATGATAGTCATAGAGCAGGACTAAGAGTGATGCATCCAACGGATTATACAGTATTGAGGGTAGCATATAGTTTATAGAATCTCCCCAAACTATTTCCAAATGCATTAGGATCGCAGCTCCTAGAATTTCAAATTTAAATCTGGTTTAAAGATCGGGGATATAAAAAAAATCTAGCACCTGGTCAACAACTTAGTCATTTTAAAAAGTTAGTTGTATTTCAGTAGTTATTTTTAAATATTTTAAAAATAGGAGTGTGATGGCTCAACAGTTAAAGATACCTGGTTTGAGACCTGAGTGCTGCATGACGGGATGAGCTCCCATTACTCACCCCAGCTCCTCCCCACCTAGCAGTGGAAAAGCATACAAATGTGAGTAGATAAATAGGTACCACTTCCACTGGGACGGAAACAAGTGGACAGGAGAAACCTTTACTTTTTAAAAAAAATATGCATTTTGACAAGTTCTTCCCAAATGTATTCATTCCAGATATGAACTGAGTATCCCAACATCCTTGACATATGTGTTGAAAATTTTAATCCAGTATATGGGAGGTCACTATCTTGGGAGATGCTGATATTTAGACTTGGAAACTAATACAATCTAATATAAGCTCAGGGGGCTCTAGCAATGACTACCCTAGGAAGAAAGTTGGAACAGGGCCATGTCTGGAGTAGGAAGAATCATAAGCAGCAATGACACATAATGTGCTGAACGGGTCTTTGGATCAACTGATTACAAGGTAGCTGAGTTCCTTCTGTTCCTGTTTCTGAAAAGGGATTTCTTTAGGATGAAAAGACTTCTCTGTGAATGTTATTATAGCCTCTCAGTTTTAGGAAAGCACAAAACATTTTTTCTGCACAATAAAAACCAAAAGCAACTGTTTGGCTGCTTTAACTAATCCTTCATAATAATCAGTGGCAGGTAACATGCTGCTTTCAAAATGACAATTATAACATTCAAAATTATTACTTTTATGTTCCTCTCAAGGAAGAGACAAAATGTACTGTTTGTGGGTGGCAAAACCTTGTAATAAAAATATAGGCAACTTATATTTGACTTTATTTTGCAGGGGAACAAAGGGAGAAAAAATAATGGCACTCTTTTATTTCTATGTACATAGATCAAGATACTTCTTGGTAATGTATGATTGAAATGTAGGACCCTTCTGATGCTTACAACAAATTTATATGTAAGAGAAAACTGTGGCCAGTTGAAGTTTGGCCTTAATTCGTTGGAAAAAGCAGAGATGAAAGCCAGCTGAAAAAGATGAATAGGATTTACATTTCAATAAGAAACAGACACATGCTTGATGTGTGAATTTGTGCAAATCTATTTTACGATTAATTTTCCAATCCATCATTTTTCTCCAACAAAGTAGGAAATTGTTTCAGAGACTAGACAACATAGTACTAGGAAAAAAGCGCATAATGTCCCATTTTAGGTCTGCAATATAATTTTGAGATTCTGATTTTCCTAAGCCTTCGGAATCTTAAAAGCATTCTATTAAGCACACAATTTTAAGAGGATATAAAATCACAATTCTCTTGAAGAGATTACTGTGAAGGGCATGAATTCAGACTCAACCCATGAAGTAGACAGATAAACAGACAGATATAAAAAAATAGGTCAGTCATCCCAATCATAAATTTTCTTATCCCTTTGGATTATATTACAGAATGTAATTTGTAGAACTGTTTTATGGATTCAGTAGGAAGAGATAAACAGTTTTTTTGTTCATGGGATTGTTTAAATGTTACTTTTGCATATTTCTTTACAAGGTTTGCTTATTATCCACAATTACTATTTTTACTATCATTTAATGCAATAACGCTTTCCATCCTTTTTTATGTTTTAGACATGATTATATTACAACCAATTTATATATTTTACACACAAAAAAAACTTTTTAAAATAACAAACATATTAGAAGTAACATGTAAGATTAAAATAGTGTATTTATTTTAAAATAAAGTGTACACCTTTATTTTAAACTTTTCAAGAGTTTATTCTCTAAATTAATTTATCCTCTAAATCAATTACTCAACATTTTTTTAATGTTGTCTTCAATACATATTCATATCGTCTAATACTGCACTGATGTTGAAGCTGAATTTTGATCAGCGCCGTTTTATACACTTTTTGGTTTCTTCAAATAATGTCAGCAACTTTGGGCTCATGCCATGTAATAATCCCCTACCGGAAAGAGACAAAGCAAAGTACCAGCTACAAACTGGTCTCTTTTTTTCTCTCTGCAACAGAAGGCTCCCATCTGAAGTTTAATGCACATGCCAGCACATGCTTGACAAAGAGTATTGCTTTGAAGAGAACAGGGAGCTTGTTATGCATGTTTATATGAGAAAGAACAAAGGTAATAGCTCAGCTGTCTTTGCCAAGATGGAGTATGAGACTATACACTGCCACTCAAGTGAACAACAAAACCACCAGTTGTGGGATAGGTCATATAGGAATAGAAAATAAAAATATAGGATTCGGAAGTTCTTGCCTGTTATGGCCTAAATGCGCTTTGGGTATAGTGGGTAGAATTTATGAGAACTACAGTTAAGAAACACTTAGAACAGGGGTCTTCAAACGTGGCCCTTTTATAACTTGTGGACTTCCAGAATTCCTCAGCCAGGTACGCTGGCTGAGGAATTCTGGGAGTTGAAGTCCACAAGTCATAAAACGGCCATGTTTGAAGACCCCTGACTTAGAAGATACCATATTATAAGAGACTGTATCGTTCTTGAACTAATTCTAGTTCTTAGTTCTCCAAGCAAAAGTTATGGTAAAACAAGAAGTAGCAGGCATACAGAGAATACTACAAAACTCAAATTTCTGAAATTTCTTGTGTTAACCCATTCAATTGGATTTGCTTGAGGGTTTGCACGTAGATTAGCAATGATTTCCAGCTCTACATTAATTAATAATTTTAGAATTACAGTATTAGCTTCAGTACTTCTGCAAAACTTCATTACGGTACTTATTTCTCAGTTGTTCCATTTCCCCCATTATTCATGATCTGAGTTTATTGCAAAAAGGGAAGTTAGCAAACTTACTCTCCGATCCTCAACACAGCATCCGTGGACCTCTTCCTTGTTAACGTCCATGCCCCAGATGACCTTACTGCTTTTGGGGTCAGGCAGCACTTCTCCCCAAGGGTTACCATGATATTTGCAACAAGCTCTCAACATTCCAAAATGAGCCCACTGACCAAAAATGAAAAAAAGTAGCAGTAGAGAGGCTAGCTAAGACAAAATGTTTTAGCCATTATTATGAACTGTGAAACATTATTGTGAATGCTATTTCTACAGAGGATGCTATTTCTTCTTTTCTCCATCTGAGCTTGGCGCACTTAGATGAAAGAAATCCTCTTGATGTTTGTCAACTTCAGTTTGGCATTTGATAAAATTGTTCCAATATCTAGTAGACAAACTGGGCCTTTCAGGCTTTAAATACATCTTTGTGCAACTGGATTCTTGATTTTCTTATTGATAGGCCCCAGTAAGTGCGAGTTGGGACTAATATTTCTAACACCATTTTCTTGAACACAGGTTCTCCTCAGGGCTGTGTCCTAAGTCTGCTGTTGTTCACCCTGTTGACCCATGACTGTTGTGCTAGGTTTGCCATCAACCATATTCTGAAGTCTGCGGATGATACAACAATAGTGGTCCTTATTCAGGATGACAATGAGGGTGCTTACCTCAAGAAGGCAGAGGTTTGGTGAACTGGTATAATTAAAACAGCCTTGTTTTAAATGTTGGAAAAATGAGAGATAATGCCACACACCTCTGCGTATTAATGATTCACCTGTCAAGGTGGTTAACATCAGGTTTCTGAGTGTGCAGCTAACTAATAGGCAAGCTTGGTCACTCAACAGCGAGACACTGGTGAAGCAGGAACAGCAGCACCTGCATTTTCTGCATCGCATGAGAAAAATACATCTTCCTTCCCGTCCTTACCACTTTCTATAGAAGGACGATCGAGAGCATCCTGTCATATTGCATTACAGTCTGGTTTGGAAGCATTACTGCTTCAGATATGAAGGAGGTGCAGAGAGGTGAGGATGGCAGAGATTATCGGCAGTGCACTCCCTTCTATTCAGAACATAGCATATAAGCGATGCTTAAGCAGGGTCTGCAGTATTGTCTGGGATACTACACATCCTCTTCACGGCCTGTTTTCCTTGTTGCCTTCTGGAAGGAGGCTTTGTGGTATCTTTGTGGTATCTGAAGCAGAACACATATATATGTATATAGCATGTGTATGTGTGTTATTTATGTGTATGGGTAGATATATATTTTTGAGAGCAGCCAACAGAATTTTATTTTAATTTGTGCCAGTAAAAAATGACAATAAAGATTATCTTATCTAACTGTATTAACTAGCTAATAAGTGATATTTTGTTTTCTTTGATGTGGGAACCAGAATCATATATTATTACAATTAGAAAAAGTTTTTTTTAAAGAATATAGTATGTATGAGTTCTCAACATAGGATGAAAGAATATATAGTCTTTAGTAAAACACACACACAACCAAGTGAATTCACTAACAAAACACACTTTATTCATACTCAGTTCTCCTTCAGTGGTACAAATACCCCTAATATACTGTAAGCCATATACTGTAATTCATCTTTTCTGATGCAGTATTAGGTAAGCAGGCTGGATGGCTAAATCAATATTTTGTCTTTAGATATACCTGATGGCACACATAAACAAAAGGAGTTCACATAAATGTAGGAGAGAGCTTTTTTTTGTCAGTAATTAGAATGTCAAGTTTTTTAGCTTTCTGTTTTTGTATTAATGACGACAATGTGATCTTGTTTGCAATAGTGCCAAAACAACATAAAAGATACACAGAGATTCAACAGACATAAGTCATGCTATTAGCCTAAAGGGTAGATTTTATGTAGTTTTTACAAACTATTTTGTTTCTTTTTATCCCAGGGTTAAGCTTTATTTTATTAGGCTTGTTAAGTTAATTCCAAACTACTGGTGACATCAGTGAGTATCAATTTACCAATCTTTTTCAAAAGAATACATAAAGGCCAGGCTGCACTCTTTATCCAGGGTTTCTTTCAAAATTTCTCTAGTAGTGGCATTCCTTTCAGTTTATCTTTATTAAGCTGCCCTCTACTGATGGCATCTGATATACACTGTACACATTTTACACTGAAGCAGAAGAACTCATGATGAGTTCTGTAAAATCAACAAAGATTAGTCCAAACAAACAGAATTTAGAATTGCAGCACCAAACAACTAGAGATTATTTGTAAAGTTCAAATTAAATTACTTATACTGCAGACTAGCAGCAATATCATCGCATCACAGAATTTCAGAACATCTGTTTTATTACAAATAAATCTGATTTGTCTTTAAATGAAAGGTAACTTTTGCAATTACTTCCTTGCAGCTTTAAATATTTAGAAAGTTTCAAGATCTGGAAGATCTTGAAGAAAATGATTTGGAGAATTTCAAAAAAGTGTAAATAAGCAGCCATTTAAATGTATATGATTTCTAGTTTGCCATTTTAAGAAGTAAACCCTCTCTACACATTCTGTTTAGCCAGTGGGAGTAAGAAGATGCAACAAAACACCATGTTTTTGTATTTTTAATGACAGCTTGGAGGATAGCAACAGCAATAGCACTTAGACTTATATACTGCTTCTCAGCCCTGTCTAAGAGGTTTACAGAGTCAGCATATTGCCCCCAACAATCTGGGGGCAATTTTACTGCTCTCGGAAGGATAGAAAACTAAGTCAACCTCGAGCCGATGAGAATTGAACTCCTGCAGTGTGCAGTTAGCCTGCAATACTGCATTCTAACCACTGTGCCACCATGGCTCTTTATCAATATAGCTATTATGTCTGTTCTAGACATGAATGGCTTAAAGCATTACTGAAAGCTATATAGATCTTCAATGGAAAGCTGGTTTCTTTTTAAGAAAGTAGTAGTGTTCCTCCACTAAAGTTCAAGTAAAGCTTCAGATCAGGGATACTACTGGCATGTGATGTGCACGGAATCATCTGTTCCCAAAGTATTCACTGTCATGTAGTGGGGATGCAACAGAAACTGCTGAGTCATGGACTTCTCCAGTAAAAATATTTGCAAATTTTCCTACATCCTACAGATTACTATCTTAGTCAGTCTTAATGTATTGGTCAAAACAAAAACCTGTTTGCCATGTTATATACAGTATTATTACTCAAGAGTCTACGTGTTTATTAGAGAGAAACGACTGAAGTTAGAGGGGAAAACCTCCTCCAAAAACAATCTTCTTGAAAAAAGGTGGCTAGCAAATTAGCACTGGTCAGAATCTCATTATAGGCAGAACAGACCATTTATTAGGATCAAATAATCGTCTGAAAAACTGTTTCACTCCTTTCTCTCAAAGAAACTCTGTCAGCCTCACACAACTTGCCATTAGATCAAAACAGCAACACATCTTGATTTATCCTTTCTTGTACCATATTTTTTAAGTCCAAGCGTTCTAACAAACAGTTTGTCAGAGTTTCCATCTGAATGGAAACATAATTAACGAGTAGTCTGAGTAAGAAGAGGTTCTGTCAAATTCTGTGAATGGCTTCTTTACCCTTTGATTACTGCAATGGGCCTCAGTTTAATCGCTTTCTTGCTGATACCAGCTGCATGGCAGGTGTTAACCACATCTGTCACATTCTTATAAGATTCAGGTGCCTAGGAAAAAAAGAGATTAAAAAAGGAAATGATATACTTTGAGGTGTTAAGAGAAACAATTTATCCCAAATTAGAGAAGGAAAAGGGAGCCCTTTCCAAGCAGAAATTAGAGCATTTAATTTGGTAGATTCTCCTAAACTCTATTTTTTCTTCTGATAATAGATGCTAATACTTTGCTGTGAAAAGAAATCCACCCCAGAAATAAAATTGTCCAAAGAAAGATTAAAGAACTCTCACTTCTTCCATGACTAGTTTGGGAGATGCAACACGGATTGCAATCCCCATATCTGCCAACTTGTCCAACACATCCTGGAAATCCAAGTTACGTCGTGATTTGGCACGGGACAATGCACGGCCCTGTAGGATAATATATTTCTTTAAGTACCAGTCTTCAAATTGAAGCAAACATTAATAACATGAATAAAGAAAGCAGTTATATGTGGCCTTGGCCATATATTAAAATTAACAGAACAGACTCTTTTTAAATTCCTAATTTTTTTAAAGGTTTCTAATATACACACATATAAGGATAGTTGCTTAGATATGCTCCATCTTGGACTTTGACTGGCCAGGTTCAACCAAGATGATGAGGACTCAGTCTTGTATTGCATTATGAGTTTGAGTCAGTAAATCTTGAGGAAGTGGACAGGTTCTCAATGCGGTTACTTTCAGCCACCTCACTGTTGAATTCTAATTAAAACAGCCAGGAAATTAATTTGTAATTGATTCACTCATGCTCTAGTCACTTCATGGATCAATACTGCAATGTGCTCTACATGGGGCTGACTTTGAAGATCACTTGGAATTTAACTGGTCAAAAATGTAGCAGTCCGGGCAGTGATGGGCATGCCTTGGTGTGCCTATTTAATACTTGTAAGTCTGTATTTGTTACCAGTATTTTTCTGGGTGCAACTGAAGATAGTAACTCTGACCTATACAATGTTAATAGGGCACAGAGCCTGGTTACGTGAAGGACCAGCTATTTTCTATGGTATCAGACTGGCTTGCTTGATCTAAGAGGATTAGCATGCTCAGGGTTCCTTTATTAAATTATGTCATTTATCGGGATCAGGAAGCATACCTTCCCCTGCCTTCTGGCATGAGATCTCCCCTGCTATTTGTGTGGGTCACACCCTGATAGTATTCCGGAACACTTGTAAATCTGGCTGTTCTTCCAGGCCTTTGGTTAGGCTGGCAGGGGTCCCTGCTAGATTTTATGCAGAGTGTGGATGTAGTTAGATTGTTCCTCCCTTTGGTTTTATTGTACATTATCCAGAGTCAGTTTAGAGTTGGGATTGAATAAGTTAAATACATACACTATCTAAATCATCCTGGACATTCTATACTATATTGCCTACATTTCTAAGTTACTATAATCTCTCCGCATCTTCATTTGATCCCACAGCAGTCATGGATTGCTGACCCCATTCCTCTTGCCAGAATAACTGAAGCTTTATTTTGGCTAGTAATTATCCAGATGTACAGAAATATGAAGCAAAAACACCATGATTTAGAATAAAGCAAGTGGCTTCCTACTCACTGCTCCATGGCAGGTGGTTCCAAAGGTTTCAGTCATGCCTTGATCAGTACCAGTAAGGACGTAACTGCAAGTTCCCATTGTTCCACCAATCAACACTGGCTGGCCGGTCAGCTGGAGACACACATACAATCAGGGTTAGAGTTATGCTGAAATGGCTGCAAATTATTATCAACCAATAAAAAAAATGTTGATGAAATACAGTTGATATATATTTTTTATTAGAATCAGCTAATTTACACTGTCTACTCTAAACTAACTTGCAAAAGAGGATGCAATATATCTGTGAAGAAATTAGACTAGGCTGTGCAGCCAATTAAGTGAAAAACTCCACCAAGGATGCAAAGGGAAATGAAAGCTCATGAATGCTAATAAGAGAGAAATCTCAGAAGTTCCTACTTGGTAATCGACAGCTATAAGAGGGTGGTGAGGAGGGAATGCTCTGGTTGATCCTTTCCTATGCACCAACAGGGTCCGTTCTTTGCCATCTACCACGTGCTGTTCTACTTTTGCAATGTTGTGAGACACATCGTAGATTACATGCATGTCCAGATCATCAGGAGTGGTGTTGAAGACTTTAGCAAATGCCTAGAAAACAATACAGGTACACAAGATAGTTCTAATATGTTTTGGGGGATTGGTATATACGAAACTGGCATTTTAGTTATAATTATCTGAAATTCTTCCTCCAACAATCAGTTTATCTCAAGCTTCTTGCATTCTAAGTACAGATTTTAACAGCAATTCTTGAGTAACCGTACTTGAGAGACATTCTCTAAACTGACCGATATTGAATGTGTAAAGACAATTATAATTATATTGGTAAAATGTACTTCAGACTATGGCTGGAATGGAACATATAGTTCAGCAGAATCATTAACAAAACCTTTTCTGAATGCTGCCCTGCTGCTCAAAATTGTAAATTCCTTCAATTTGAAAAACAGGCCAAGCCTGCTTTTTTCAAGACAGAAAATGGCCATTATTTATGCAAAGCTATTCATATACACTGTGAGCAAACATTTGAAGTATTGTTCCATCCATGCACAAAATAGGCATGATCTAAATCTAAAATCTTAATGAACTAAAGTGAATTGGCTTTCAACCCTAAATATCTAGACAGTATGATCCAAATTTAGGGCAAGTCAGTTTTGGAGAAAAGGGCTATAATTAAATAAAAACTCAGTTGACACTTCATGTTTAGAAAAGAAAGCCAAATGTATTCATACAACTGAGTTTGTATACACTGATATACAAGTAGCACCAGCCCCAAATTGGGATCAGCAACATGGTTTGCTAAGCAATGAATCAACTGTGAGTTATGATTTTACTTCTACCTTCTGTATTCTGCTTGGAACAAGCCAGTGATTGTTGTGAATGCAAGAATTGATTGCAAAACTATTTTTGGCACCATTATAACTTTGAATGGTCACTAAACAAGGCAGTCAGTAAGGACTACCTGTACTTCTTTCAAGATAGATATATCACAGACCAACTTCACGAATCCATGCTTTCCAGTTATTCTGGGACTGAAGTCCATGTCATTCACCATCAAAACATATCTGGAGAACACCAGATTGGGAAGAATATCTTAGCTAGAGCTCAATTTCCCCATCTTAGCCAGTTATACCTGATTATTTTTAAAGAGTGAGAAGCGATGAGCTATTGCTGTCCCCTCTTACCTGTCTAGTAAGAAAAGTCATGGAGGAACGATTGACCCATGCATAGTTTCCAGCTGCTGCCATCCCTTTCAAATAATCTTGGCCCTCCTGAGAAGCTATCCTAGCACATGCCAACTGGCGGTCATTCACTATAATCTTGTCCCGTTTCATTGCTTTTTCCATAGCTACTAAGGCATCTGAAAAATAGGACCAAATAAATTCAGAAATTGTGATCTGGACCAGCAGGCCTAGAATTTAAAATATAGTTTTAGATTCCATACATATAAGCTAATTGCATAAAGATGGTATATTTTTTCCACATAAAGACTGTGCCGTAGAAACTAGCTCTAATATTATATTAGATAGTCACATTTCATTTCCAGAACAAAAAAGAACATTAGCCAAATACCTGTAGCTACTTGGTGGCCAAGGCCTCTGCTTCCACTGTGGATCATCACACATATTTGTCCCTTATGGTCTATACCCATCTTTCGGGCTGCATATTCATTATAAATGTCATCCACAACTTGTATCTCAGCATAGTGGTTTCCTGCTCCCAGAGTCCCCAGCTGTTAAACCAAAGAGGAGAACTTAGCTTTTCCCAACATGAAAAATGAAATATTTGTGATTTTTACTAGAAACCCTGGAAAATTAATGCAATTTAACATCCATTAGTCTTATTGATGGACACTGAGTTTTTCCACATTCCAGATGTTAAGGGAAAAGATTCTCTTTATTTTCTGAACTGTTAAGCTTCTTTTAAATTGCATGTTTCCTAAAAAGTATTAGACTAAAATCAAAACATTAGGTAAGATGTAAATTGAAAAATCAATAATACTGAATCACTAAATCAAACATATATAAAAGATAATATTTAAGGCTAATCAATCAAAAGGTGAAATTTCATTACAACAAAGTGAAGTCCTCCTTAATCAATGCAAGAGCCAGTGTGGTGCTATAGCAGTGGTTCTCAACCTTTTTAATGCCGCGACCCCAACCGGTCGTAAGTCGAGGACTAAACCGGTCGTAAGTCGAGGACTAAACCGGTCGTAAGTCGAGCGCCGCGCATGCGTGGTTCCGCCCCCTGCGCCGGCCGAGGCATAGCTGGCAAGCTGCAGAGACGGAGCAGGCCGACCACCAGCTGGCCCAGCCCAAGGGAGGTAAGACACCCGCCGGAAAAGGGGGAAAAAAATGGCGGACAAAAAAAATGGCGGACAGCCTTGCTTGGCGACCCCCATGAAATGGTCGATCGACCCCAAATGGGGTCCCGACCCACAGGTTGAGAACCACTGTGCTATAGTTACAGACTGCTAGACTACAGCCGCAGAGAGCCAAGTCTAATTCCACACTCAGCCATGGAAACTTACTGAGTGAGTCACCCAGAGTATGACACATGAAAACCAAAAGTGAATGGGTAACCTTTTGAATCATGACATCAGCTAATCAAATCTCTGGTCATTGTTCTGATGTCCTATAATGCTATTAAAATCAACCTGATTAAATTAAAATTAAATTAAATAAATTAAAATCAGCATTAAATGACCACCCAAAATTATATCTACAGTCTGATTACCTGAGGTAAACCCCTTTTCTTAGCTCTTGCCGACACTTTATTTGGATCCGCCTGCAACATCCTCCCATATTCTTCACAATGTTCTTTATCCTCAGCCCAGGCATAGCCCTCTCGTAAGGACCAGTCTACCCCCATCTCTAAAGCTTCCTCCAGGTCCCTGGAGTATGAAAGACACTCCAATTAGGAGACCACAGACAATTACAGAATGAAAGTTAGCACAGACTCACTCCTACATCTTAGTTCACAATTATCAGATTACTCCGAGTATAAATACTCTCCAAGTTCCATTGCTTCATTGCTCAAGTGTTGTCTAGTGGGAAGTAGAAAGTGTCCCTTTTCCATAAAAAATCCTGCCCTGTGGAAGAACCTTTCCCTTGGGATCTGGCAGCTCCTCATCCCCAACTTTTAACTTTCCCGAAAGTTGAAAAAGGCTGGCTTTTCTCCCGGACCCTGGGATAGGGTAAAGTTGGAGCCTGAGGATGCATAGTTTGATGCACTGATATGATGGATTAAGTGCTTAATGTTCTGTTTTTTGTTTTTGTTTTATCATTGTGACCCACCCATAATTGTGTTCTGTAAGGTGGGTGGCCATGCAAATCTTTTAAATCAAGCATTTATTAGCAAACATTTGCACTTAGAACATGGACAACTATGTAAAATGCTCTTTCAAATAAGTGAGGTTCATTTTCCTTTTCCTCTATAAAGAAAACAGTGACTAAACCCAGTTATTGTTCTCACACTGCAAACAAAATAAAATACAGCTAGATAGGTTGGAAAGTTTCCTTTCTCCTCACCTTATAGAGGCAAAAGAACTTCAATGCAGAAAATGTTTAAAGATTTGGCCAGCATAGGAGAAAATAATGAACATCAAGAAAAAACAACAGGGATGTCTCAATTTAAACATGATGGCATGTTTTGGTGGCATTAGACTAGGCTGTTCTAATTGGTCCCAGTCCCCACCTATAAAAAAGTTTCCCTGATGTTTACCTATGTCAGGTCTGCCCAAACTCAGATCTTTAGGAAAGAAAGACCCCCGACTCCATTTGGTTGAAGTGATAGATTCTTTTACTAAAGTTAAGTGGTTATAGCGAAAGTAAGGGTAGATCTGAATAGTCCCATGGAAAGGTTACTTTTTCCCCTTGCATCGCCCTCTCCCCTTTGACCAGTCTATCAGTGTCCAATAGCATGCCGTTTAGATGTTTTGGGAACCACTTGGTTGTTTGGCGACACTTGATGCAGTTTTACATTCTGTTCCCAGACCAGGTGTTCTTGGTAACTGGTTTACTTTGGCTTGGCATCTCTGGTTTCTGTCAAGGCTGTCTCTCCCTCCCATCGTTTGTCTCCACATTCCCATGTCTTTTCTCTCCTCCCTCCTTGCATTTTATGGCAGGATGCCAGCAAAGTGTAGAAGTTGAAGATGATAGATCTGACATCCTATGAGAGTTCCGACCATTGCATGCATACTACAGAGTCACTCTTGACAATTAAGAAGGCAGAGAAATATATTGTGGCAATTGTTATAATCCCAAATCTTTTCTTGATACCCCAAAATATTTGAGGACTAAGAAACATGGTTCTTAAATAAGTACAATTATCAGTATGAGTGGTTGGTTAAAACATAGAGCCTCTTAGCAACTATTACTACCAAATTACAAGTGAGTTTACACTAAGATAACTTTTACCTATCTGGATGCCCTCCAGATGCATAGACATAAACTGCCACAATTCCCAGTCAGAATGGAATTCTGGAAATAAAAGTCCTCTAGATATATGACTAACCTATGCAAAGCTTTCAAACAGCTCTGTATCAAAAACTGTACAATATTCTGACATTTTTACTTGTTTGCTACTCAACAGATTTGCAATGCATGTGATGTTACATTTCATTTTCTTTCTGCCACCTTCTTCAGAAATGAAGCAAAAATACAGACATTTGAGAAAATAAAAAAATAGTTCTTACTTGGCATTCATGGGGATGACACCCTTGGATCCCACCCCTACAGGAATGTGGTCAAACATGGATTGTGCAAGCTGCTCCTTCACTGGCTGGACATCACACTCATCAAGGTTGGTCCGCAATAATCTAACACCACAGTTAATGTCAAACCCTACACCTCCTGTATGAGTAATCAGAACATACCTTTTAAAACTCAGCTCAACAAGTCACTTTATGCAATTGCTATTATGAACTTAAAATACTCAATTATCAGAATATGAACTTAAAAAACTCAGAACTCATCACTGCAATCAACTGCATTTTTGTCGCAGCTATAATTACATTCAGTAAACTTTATATAGCTAGATATTCTAATAAATATATTTGTATTACATGGAAAGAACAGAACTATTCTGTGCTAGTTCAAGGGTAAACATACTGAAATGTCATACTTTATCATAGATCATCTATTTATTTATCCTCCATAATCACACTTCATTAAAGTTATTTCAGCTTAACATTGAATTCTGCAGTATAAGCACTTGTTATTTTAAGATAAATCTAATAAATAGACACTGTCCTCAAAAGGTCAATGAGAGCATTTTGCTTTGGCCAGCATACATATACTGGAAAAATATCCACCTGTTTCTTCAAATCAGTCCAGATTAAAAATATGGCATCAGTACTATAAATTATTTGGATAATTAAGACTTTTTGGCCTTAGAACTAAAAACTTCCTTACAGTTGAAAATGTAACATACTACAGAACATATCATTATTCAACTGTTACTTACATAGAATGGTTAACAATATCTCTGTACAATTGTCTGAATTGGAGCCTGACACATCTAAAACATATCTGGAGGTACCTAAGTTCTCTTTCCACACAGACAATAGCTGTCCATACCTGGTGAAACTACTGCTTCTGGGTCATTCATATCAAAGGCTGCCATATTGCCAATAGCAAAGCCATACCCTGAATGAACATCAGGAAGTCCAATAGATCGCTGAAATACATTTTTTGTAAAAAAACAAAAAAAGAAAAAAAGAAAAGAAAGGCAATCAATATAACAATTATGAATGATATTCCTATGCTAAATAGTAGTCCTAGCCCAGTCATATTCCCATTGCAAAGCATCCAAAAGCAGAGGTTTCAACATTTATATCAAGGGGTGTACCATACTCAAAATGACAACTGGAAATAAAGAAATCATTTCATTTCAAAAATTAACGGCAAATACTCTACTTCCATCATATCCTTGAATATCTGAATTTACTTCAAGAAATTGTTAGGATAAGAAAGTCTGACAGTATTCTTATTGCGAAGTTCTTGGTAATTCTGAACTTGGTTGTTTGCTTGTAGATGTTTCATTATCCAACTAGGCAGCATCATCCATCCTTGCACTGATAATAGTACCTACTTGGGTAAGAAAATATCTGCAAGCAAATCACAAATTTCAGAAGCTCTAAGGACTTCACAGTTCAACTCTGAGCTATACATATTCTTTTCTATTGGAAAGCATTCTTATTTCTATTTGAAGCAATAGTTCTACTATTCTTCTAACACTTTACTACATAGAAGAATCCATAGCAAAGTCCTCCTATAATGATTTTATTCTGGATTTAAAATAACAAGGACTCACATGAACAATACCAGGTAATGCAGCTACATTTCCAATTTGTTTCATGGCTGGAAGAAAGCCACCAGCACCTTAAAAAAAGGTAGGAATTAATTTCCTATTTCCTATGAACATGTAACTCAGAATTAACATTTTAAGGATAAAGAACAGTGCTATTCTCTTAACATTTACTCAGAAGTACAAATGATGGAATTAAATAAGGCTTATTCCTAGATAAGCATGTAGAGGACTATAACTATAACCACTTGCATATTTCATATGCTAGGCCAGGGGTGTCAAACTGCCGGCCCATGGGCCGGATGCATCATAGTGAAACCGCGCCCACCCCATTACTGGCAATGGCAAAAAAGTCATGATACATTGCGACACGTCATGTGATGTTGCGAGTTTGACACCCCTGTGCTAGGCCTATAGAAAATGAAAATATTGTGAAACATGAGGTAAATTGGGTATAAAACATATCAATTCAAAATTGGAATTTAAAGGGTACATGTCTTTACATTTAAGCAAGCAGAACTAAAGAGCAAATGGTTATTTTCTCATGCCCAACCAACAATTCTTCATAAATCAAGACCTTTTTAAAAATGTGTTTATCCAAGCAGCCTATTAACCACAACATATTTATGATAATTAAACATAGAAGATGCTGTATTGGACTTCTAGATATATTTATTGAATATGTGACAGATTTAAAGGAAAAAAATATTGGAGGCATTAGGAAACAAGGAGATTCAAACAGACAATTGAAAGCTCATACATACCTCCACCTCGGCATGCATTTCTTAATTCTTCAAACATCAACTTCTCCAATGGATCATTCACATAAAACACACCCTCCACCTAGAGACAAAAAGAAGAAAATTAGAAAAAAGGACCACATATTCAAAAGTAGGACGCACCATTCAAACAAATAATTGAAAACTAGAATGCTTCCATAATGAGAGTTATTTTAAATATATATTCTTCCAGTAAAGATTTAGATTTCTTGTAAATAGTTTAAAGCAGGGGTCCCCAACCTCTGGGCTGTGGAGCAGTATTTGTCCAGGCCTGTTGGGAAAAAGCTTTGTCTGCGCATGTATGGGATCTATGTTGCATGTGAACCATTCCCCCCCCTCCATGTCTGTGGAAAAACTGTCTTCCACAAAACCTGTCCCTGTTGCCAAAGAGCTTAGTGACTGCTGACTTAGAGGTAGCTTCCTAAATAACCAATAGTTTGAACGAAGCAAATAGTCCACTTGCAAGAGAAATTATCAATATCACAATTGGTACTCTGATTAGCTACACTTACAGATCAAATTTCTCTCCACCAAGAAACTGGCAATTCTAGATGCATTATTTATCATTATAAATCGCCTTTATCATTTGAGCCAATATCATTTGACAATTATACAAAATGATAAAATGCAATCGTAGGCACTGCAGTAGGTTAAAAATTGAGCAGAACCAAGCAAGTGAACCCTGGACATTTTCTGTTCGTCGCACTGACAGAATGATCGCCCAAAGGAATGAAAGGCACTCGGGGGAGCTTTTAGCTATTAATTATCATGCTCCAGATTACAGTGTTTCTCAACCTTGACCATTTTAAGGCATGTGGACTTCAACTCCCAGAATTCCACAGCCAGCATTGCTGGCTGTGGAATTCTGGGAGTTGAAGTCCACATGCCTTAAAATGGTCAAGGTTGAGAAACATTGCGTCCAGAACGAAGTCTAGCGATGAAAACAGCAAGAATTCATTGCTCGCCCCGTCGCCTCTAACCAACTCACGTTCATGTTGGGCACAAATCCTTTCTTGATGCGCCAGCAGTGCTTATCCAGTTTATCCAAATATTGCAATTCATCGTTGTAGTTTCGGCTCATGGCGAAAAGCACAGCAAACGCTCCGAAGTAACTAACAGAAGAACGTTTTTCTCAGGTGCTTCCCGGCAAGGCGCGGCCACGTCCACTTACGCCAGTACGGAAGCCGAGACGGCTCCGCCCCAATTCTCTATCAGACCGAGAGGAGATACTACGGAAGCCGAAAAGGCTCAATTTAGGGTTAGTGGAGCAACGCTGCAAAAAGTCGGACGACTGTTGGACGGAAATAAAGGGATACTGAGTCTTCGCTTACGTGTAGTGGTCGTCTGTAGTTTTGAAACTAGTTTTGAAACAGGAGTCAGCTAAGATTCTTCTTTTCTGCCTCTTTCTCGCTCTCTTTAGAAACAGCTAAAAGTTGGTGTGTTTGCGTGCTGTCTCATATCAAATGGAACAAAGGCGGACACGCTCACAAGAGTCAAATGGGGGAATACACTTTTGAATAAGGAGAAACAGCCAAGCCACGACTCTATGCGTACTTTCACTAAGAGATGGCTATCTAGAGATACACATTAGTTGCTGGAGAATGGCATTTAACCATATAATATTTCATGGAATATATAAACGTGATAATCCAGGAATTCATATAAAACATTTATTAGTCTTTAAGGTGTCACGATGCTCCAGGTTTTTGCTGCAGTGTAGTACAAATTGAATATTTTTAATAGGGGATGAATATCAGCCACCGAGATATTTGCTGAATTTGTGGTAATTAATTCTATCAAAATAAAGGAGCCCCTCAGAATCAAGGATTTTCTGGTTGACGCTCATAGGTCCAGCAGTGGAAACTATTTTAGAAGATGCGGCTTGCCTGTGTTCTTATACCCCCTGGACTATACCTCTTATCATTCCCAGATATTGGGGTGAATGTGAATGAAAACATGAGATACCCGCATTAGCTCTCCTTTGATATTTGAAAATTAAAGAGTGGTTTGGGTCTGCAATACAAATCACTATTTCATGATAAAGTTGGCTCAATTTTGGGGATTTTTTTTTTTAAGGAACATGTCCTCTTTTCCTTAAGGTAAAGTGTCCATTTTCATGCCATAATTCAAGAAAAACAAGAGAAACTAAGCAGTTTTACTAAATCATGTAATTAAGTTTGTGTGTTAATTCCAAGGCATATTTTGAAGATATGCAGTAGAATCTTTGCTGATGTTAGGCTGTTCTGTTTCTGGTCCACATCTGGTTCATGACCGTCCATCTTGACTCTTCTGTATGTTGTTGTGAATCCATATGAAGGAAGACAGGATAGAGGTGCTGATCTGAAATTGCAGCTCCCAAATTTAAAACCAGAATTCTCTGCTCATTTGGTAAATGTCATTACCAAAAGCTACATGTAAGACATGACCAATCCAATTTTAAAATATTTTTTACGATGGTTATTAAATGAACATTACTGCCTTTAAGCAGTCATTAAGCAGTGAACCCATTGTTCACTATGGCACAGTTTTGCTGGAAGTGAGAACTGGTTTTCAGCAACACTCATAAAAATCCAATCATGTGACTACCAGACACTGCAAATGGATATAAAAATGGCTGTCTTGCCAAGTTCCCAAAGTACGGCCTCATGAGTTAAGAGGGTGATTGTCAGAACTTCAGATCTGGATTGTAAGTCCCCTTTTTCAGGTAGGTTGTAACTTTGATCGCTAAGTTGTAAGTCAAGGACTACCTGTATTACAGTGTTCATTGAATACAATAAGACTTGCCAGGAAAAATTGACATTGAATTGACAGAATCTTTGTGAAAGTTCAGTGGCTCTTCAAAGAATGAGGAGTCTTATATGCAAAGTGTTGTCTATTTTTATGTAATAATTTTTAGTTGGGCAAGATCTGTAATATTGCAGTAATAATATGATGATGAAAATAGTAATTAGAGAAATGTTTTTTTCCTGTATAAGTTGGACACATTGGGCTAAACCATTATTTGTTTAACCATGGCTTATTCAATAAGTTACAATTAGGTTGATTTATACAACACATGCAACAATAATTAGATGTAGCATTGTAAGCCGGAACCAAACAAACTAAATTGCATGAATCCACTCATAGTGTAAGTGAAAAAATAAGTAGCAAAATTCATTCTGCAGTTATATATTGTTTTATCCCAAATAGATAGTGCAGACAATTGAAGCCACTTATTTAGGTTTGTAGTGGTCCATTTTTGTCCCATAATCCACAGCCAGCTAGATTGCACTCACTTGGAATTATGGGAATCATATCCAGGGGATCTAGAGGACTCCAGTGTAGACTCTATTTACAGAATCTGGTTTTGAACCAGGTCTAATGTTATACATAATGGTTGTCAAATCTCCAAATGGGTTATAATATTTTTTTTACATATTTTTATCCCGCCTATATTATTTTTATATTTTTATAAATAACTTAAGGCAGTGAACACATCTAATAATTTTTCCTCCTCTTTTCCACACAACAACCCTGTGAGGTGAGTTGGGCTGAGAGTGTGACTGGCACAAAGTCATCCAGTCAGCTGTCTTGCCTAAGGTGGGACTAGAACTCAGAGTCTTCTTGTTTCTAGCCTCAAAAAACTCAGATTTGAGTTTTGCTCTAGCTTCTAGATTTGGCTAAAAAACAAAGAAAAGAAAAGAAAAGAAAAAGTTGTGTATCTCTTTGCTGACACCTAAATTTTTGCAGCCAGGTCTGGTAGCTGTATAGTTACCGTTATCAAAGATTTCTCTTACACAGAAATTAGATTCACTGATCATACAAAATTATAATGTGATTTCTTTTTAATCTTGTGTGTTGTGACCATATTAAAAAAAACTATGGCTTGTTTGAACCCAGATAGCAAATTCAATAAAATACTACATATGCTTACATGATCTTCTCCAATTCAGGAAGGACGGAACATGAATAAATAATGGTATTTCTAATACAAAGTTTCTAACAGCAGTGCAAAACTCTCAAATTCTTCAACTTTCCTAATTAAATTGTTATTTCATATAATATACTAGAATTATAAATCTTTTGGTCATATATAACAGGGATAGGCAATACATAGGAGTAGGACTGGGAATTACAACTCAGCTTCTTGACCTTCCACATGGCCACAAGAGGCTATCAAGTGATACTGTTATGTCCCTGAAAGGCCTGGGTGGGGGGAAATTGGGGAGGTTAAGGTATATACTTAGAAACAGGAGACTACTATCTATGCACTTAATACCACTCTCTGCTAAAACCACACTGGTGAAATCCACTAATTTTGCCTCCAAAGCTGAGCAGCTCCATTTTGGGCACTGGGGAAATTCATTATCCACTCCCGATATATAGTTGTGACAATGTTGGGCCAATATTTTCAGCTTCAGTTTGTTGCTATCTTAAACCAATGTGTTATGCATTTGTGAACTTCTGGTTGAACTATTAAAAATTTCATTCACCTATTTGCTCACCCACAAATGCCTATTGGCTCTTATGCATTTTATGCATCTATAGTAAAAAAAAAATAGTCAATGTTTGCTTGGAGATCAAAGTCTTCCTCATTATCGTAGGCTTTGAACATCAGTGGAAATCAGCAAGAAACCCTAAGAACATATACAAAAATATATTTTATTGCAGGTTTATAACAGCTTGATTATTAGAAATTTCACTTCAGCTATTTTGTGAATTGAACTCTAGAAATAAGTAGCTTATGATTGACAAAAAAATAAAATTGTCATGTCATTGTATTATGGAGTCACTGTGTATGGGTTCGGTAGCTATATACATTTGTTTAATAAATAATATAAATATTGTAGTTACAGAAACAAATATTTGTGGATATGTGTCACATGTACGTTCGGTCATAAAGGGGGTCTGAATAGGAGATACTGAAAACTATCTATCTATCTATCTATCTATCTATCTATCTATCTATCTATCTATCTATCTATCTATCTATCTATCTATCTATCTATCTAAAATTTGGAGACCACCTATCTTCTTCACAGAATGACTCTGTTTGGAAGCACATGACAATTTTCTAACAAATATCATCTGATCTTAATACAGCATCCTAATCAACTAAGAACAGACATTACCAAATCTTACCTCATAAATTCTAATACTGGGCTTCATAAGAAAAATTGTGTCCAAGACAGGCAGAGGAAATCCATCCTTTAGTTGAACTTAACAAAACAGGAAAAAAGAGAGAAAGAAAAAGATTTAGAGTAACTATGACTAGAATAGCTTTTGCAAACGCATTCTTTAATCTAAAAGCTGAATGTGTTGTATATTATTGCTCAGATATGAACATTTTAACATTCATTTTATTTTTTATTCAGCAGAAAGTAGTTTATAATATCTTAAAGAAGATATTATATCTCACTTTAAAGATAGAAAAGGGAGGCACTGAAATACACATTTTTTTTGCAGCTGTTATGCTATATTCGTATTCCACTGACTTTGATTGTGAATACAGCATGGCAATAGTAGTGATAGATAGTATAATACTGATCATATGAATGGATATAAATCTGAGTAACTATTAAGCAGGAATAAAAATCTAAGCATACAACTGATACATTTTAACCACCAGTCTTAGAAGTTCTTTATTAGCCTCTCCACTTTATTTAACTTTATTTATGGACATGTTGGCTGGAACTTACAGGACTGTTTAAAAGTCTTTAGTATATTTGAAGCTGGCTTAGAAACAAAAGTCATTAAAGAAAGAGAAATTGAGAGAAAGAAAGATGAAGCTGTGCTTACAATTGGCTGCTGGAATTATTCCAGTTCGTAAAATGTAAGACAGGAAATTATCCAAAAGTGAAGCCTGCAATGCAAAATGAAGATTGACTTTGCTTCAGTGTCGGTGTTTAAGCAGGATGTACAGCATTTGTTTTTATGTAATGGGTCTTTTAGAATTTCTGTGAATCCAACCTCTCAAGAAGTTTATAATCAAAGGAGCAATAAACAAAACCAAAAAGCCAATTCCTACATTGAGATCCAGCAGATGCTGAATTTTATATGTATCTAGAATAATATGTGGCCTTGATTGTCATCATACAGTGTGAGGGCAAATCATTTCCCAAACTTTCAAAGTAGTTGGCTTTTTTGCCATCTCTGCAAATCTTAGTTTTTCCTTCTGCTTATCCCAGTGCCAGGTTAAGTTCACATTCAAATAAATCTACATGTGTGAGGATGTTTTCTTGCATTGAAGGGATTGCCTGCCACCTCTTCTATTTCCATCACTATCATGATTGACTGTCCTCACGGAGAAATTCTTAAATGCTGCTTCTCACTGAATTGGTGCAATGGATAATATATTTCGCAAGCAAAGTGACTTGATGCTATATACAGAAGACAACTTTCTTAGTTTCCTAATAATGTTTAATTATTTAGTTTGCAAATTATTTGCTTTTCTACAGCCCTTCTCTAAATCCTATATAATATTATATTTGCATATTGTTTTATTTGCATATTTTATATAATATCATTTATCATAAACTTGGTTCTACTATTTGTTGCAATAATATGCACATTACTGAAAGAAATTATCTTGAAAATGAAGCTTCAACCTCTTATAGAAGAGAATTCAAATTCCCAGCCTGAAGCATGCTGAATCTCAAGAACTGTATAAAATGTCTCTGTGAGTATCTGTCTCTGTGTGGCTGTGTATGTATGTGTCTCTGTCAGAGGGACCCCAAAGGTGGAGGATGTCCCAAACAGTTCAGTGAAGAGTGAATATGCTTAGTAATAATACAACAACACTAAATACCTGTAGAAAGATAGAAAATGGAAAATTGTGAACAGATACTAAATACAGCAGGGGTCCCCAACCCCCAGGCTGTGGATTTGCACCAGTAGGCGGCATGCCAGCAACTGGGCCATCAAAAAAGCAAAGCTACATCTGCAGGATGCAGGCAGAACATGAAACCACGGCCCCTCCAGTCCATGGAAAAACCTCTCTCCCTGGAACTAGTTCCTGGTGCCCAAAAGGTTGGGGGCTACTGAAAATCCAAAATCTAAGAATGGTAACTAAGTGGTAGAATTCCCACCAATTCTTTGTCTCATAAATTCCTTTTTCATTTTTTAGATGAAAAACATTATATAGTGAAATAGTTCCCAAGAAAACAATACAGGAAGGGGGCAATGGTACTGAAATATTATTGGAAAGAAAGTTAAACTTAAAGGAAAGGGAAAAAAATAATGGGATCAATCATCAGGACAGCACATTTTATAGAATTTAATAGTTCTATGAAGAAAATTTAAAAGGTAAAGGAATATACTTTGTAAGCAATTCAGTTCTATCTGCTACAAGTTGCACCTGCTTATTTTCCCTAGAGGCTGAAATTTACCTCAAAGAGGCCAACGTTGGAATGAGCCAAGGAGATGTGGAAACTGAAAGAAAGAAAGCATAATGCAGAGATTACTGTACATGGCCAAAGATAGTAATGTCAGTGTGGCATTGCTGAGTTGTTGGTCTTGAATCAGAAAGATTGGGGTTCAGTTTTTTCTCATGACCTTGACCACTCACACTGGGGCAATACACACTTCTTGTTTGCCCAAGTGCAAGGACAACCCACCCATTGTTTCAGGAAAGCAGGCAGAGTTGATATCACCCTTAGCCCACCCCTAGGCTGCTAGTAAGGCAAGCTCACTCCATGTTTGTAACCTTCCTTCCTTCCTTCCTTCCTTCCTCCCTCCCTCCCTCCCTCCCTCCCTCCCTTGTAACCTGTTGAAATCCTAGACTTTTTAAAATAGATTCAGCAGAAGAAGGATGGCATATCGGCTCTTTTTTCCATTTTTTTCAAACAGGGAGGTCCTTACTCCCATGTTTTTAACTGGCTAAAATTAACAACAGTTTTGCCAAGTTTCCCTTCTGAGCCCAAGAGACAAGAACTGAATTTTTTTTTAAGGATTTGCAATGGAATAGTGAAATGGGGAAGATTTCTTTTTGTCTATCTTAAACTGGGTGTAATTGACGAAAGTTCAGCCTTGAACAGGACGTAAACCATAATTTTTCATATATGGTAAAATTTTAATTGCATATTACTGTTAAATTCACAATTGTAATATGTACTATCACAATTACTCCAGTGGTTTAATAATGATTTTTTGTATGTAATATTTCCCATCAATACAACCATACAGTCATATCCAATCATTCAGTTTTGAGCTCCTTTCTAAGCAATCAAGACTAATCTCATGTGCATTTTCCTTGATAAGAGTTAAAATAATTCTTCATGATTCAATTTGAGAGAGGATGTAAAATATGCATTGGCCATAATACTCCCTTTATATTGCAAAAGTTTCTTTACTACATTTATATCTTAGATTAGTCTTCCTGTACATGATGCTCTCCGTTAAATAAATTCAGTTCCATAAGACCATTTCAGCATGTCCTTTTTATATTTTATGTTTATTTTAAGCTGCCAAACGTTTAAATACTAGATTAATCAATTTAAGCAGTTTTGGGAATACAATGGATGAAAAATCTAACAAAGGTTTTTACCTGTTCAAGCACAATGTAGTTAGCAACCTCCGATCAAATATAGTCAAATCTGCATGCGTTCTAGTTGTCTATGAAAAAGAAAGATTAGTATATAATAAGTAATTATTTTACAGTTTCAGACAGGTGCTGTAATAGTATCTGGGAAAGAACCTGGGATTTGAGGCAAAGTGATGTTGCCTGGACTAGAGAATGGTTGGATAAGAGACAGCATAGCCCCCACCCCCCACCTCCGGTTAAGAGGCTCTGAAGCAGGGGTGTCAAATTCAATTTCATTGAGGGCCGCATCAGCATTGCGGTTGCCCTCAGGGGCCCGGGTGGATGCGGCCTACTGGGCGGGTGTGGATGGAGTGGGTGTGGCCTACTGGGTGGGTGTGGCCAGCTCTACATCGTTTGCGTCAAGGGTGCCTGTGGGGGCCTGGGCAGGAGTGGGATAGATCTGAGGGTCTCTGGCAGAAGGGGGTGGGACCAAGGCAAGTGCCAAGGCATGGTCCACTGGAGGAGCCTCACTGTTCCTCTCATGCCATGCGGGGGGGGGGGCTTATGGAGCTAAGACTGAATGCGTTTCAGCATAGATGGCCACCACAAAATTGTACATTGGCTCCCGGCTGGCCCTGGGCCGTTCCCTCACTGTTTCCAGGATGGCTTCGCGGGCCACATGAAACCACTTCGCGGGCCGCATCTGGCCCCCGGGCCTTGTGTTTGCCATGTCTGCTCTGAAGGGACCCACCCTAGTATCTTGGACTATAAATGAAATGATGGGAGAATTGTGCTTTCAGACATGCAAGACTGAGGTCAGCTTTACCAAGTAGACCAGACAGGAAACATAATCAGATGAGCTAATTTTACTTTATTGTAAAGCTACATTAATAGAATCTTGCAACTCTGAAAATTCCTTCCTTCTCTCTAGAGTTCCTGCTGGGTTCCTCAGTTACTTTGCTTATAGAATGCTTGCAGGGAGAAAATCAGCCAGCAGGAAATTGAAGTCCAAGCCTGCCAAGCAGGTAAGTGGTTGCTGTTGGGTGGAAGAGGAAATGAGGATGCGTGTGGATGTGCAAGTTAGGAGGAAGGATATATGGGAGTGCATGAGAGGTGCCACGTGGGTCAGGAAAAATATACAAGTGTGCACAAGAGATTCCAGGTGGATTGGTTCGGGCACATGGGGGGATGACATGAGTCAAGAAATAAGCAGAGGTGCATGAGAGGTACCATTCAGGTGGGGTTGGGCATGCGAGGGGGGCAGTGTGGGTCAAGAAAGGTGCATGTGAGTACACAAGAGGTGCCATGTAAGTCAGGGACTACACCCGGGGAATAGCATGGATTGGAAAAGATGCATGAGGGTGCACAAGAGCTGCGCATAGAGACATGAGGGCAGAAGGGAATGCATGGAGGTCCCTTCTTTTCCCTAGTGCTGCTGCCAGGTGGGGCAGAGACTGAGAAGTTGCAAGAGTGGCTGGGAAACTGTCACAGAATGGAATGTTGAAAATGAGCGTCATGTCTGGCAGCTGAAGCAGCCACAACTTTCCTAAAATTCATTTCATTTTATATGGAGATGTTAGGTAAGAAAACAGATCACTATGAATAACATGGACTTTTTCAGTGACTTTCGAATAATATAAGCAGACATTGTTTTGAACTTTAATTTTCATCAGGACAAGTGAGGCAAAATACTGTATTTTAATCTAAAACGTCTGGGTTACCTATAGCCTGTCTTTAGAATACAGTTAGATATGAGATGAATTAGAGAACTATTTTATAGCCAACATCCAAGCACTGGGGCTCTTAACAATCTGAGTAAGATGAAAAAAATTACAGGATGGTTCATAACTTCACAGATTCCTATAAACTGGTCTAGAGAGAGAATTGGATATTGTAAGACTTACTATGTTCAAGGTGAACATGGATTCAGTGGTTGAGTTTGGCATCTTTGCCAATACTTCCATAGAAGCAGAAAATACCAGGATGGATTTATTGTCATGCAGACTAATCACAGGTGCATCGATAATTCTTATGTTCATAATTACTGGAAGTGGCTTTGCATAAATATGAGAAATCTGTAAAGTTTAGAAGTAGAGACCAAGTTTCAGAAAAATTAAAACAAGTTTTTAAAAATGCAAACAGCAAGTTTTGAAGAAATGAAAAACACTTACAGTGGGAATGATGCTATTCAATGTATCTGTAGTTAACTTGAAATAAGAAGAAAGCTGTAAAATGAAATTACATGTTAGGTTATCTTATGAAAATTGTGTGCCTTTGTGTGAACTTAATTATCTGGGGAGACAATGGCTTCCTTTTCACCTAATGCGTTCCAACAGAGGCTGTACAGGTCAATTATTTATTTACTGCCTAAATGCATTTCTCTGTTTTTAAAAAGAATGTACTGATTTCAATGTTCTTACTAGCAAAAAGAATTCTGCTAAATATGTGTTCAGAAATACTTCTGTTTCACAGAAGCCTTTAGTAAATGTGATAACCATAAGCAAATTAAACCTGCAAAATATTATTTCTATTTCCATTTGGAGGTGGAAAATGTAATTAGCAAAGAAAAGTGGGGGAGGAAGAGGGAGAGGAAGAAAGAGATTGGTGAACAAAGATGAATTTGGACAGCCCTTGTGTATAACTCCCAGATTTTTAGGTTTTTTTTTCAATTAAACCCATAAATATTAAGGTATAGGAGTTATTAAATCGTTCTGTACTAAGGCTCCCACAAATGAAAGCAAGTCATTAGATCCCACCCCAATCTCACGATATTACTAAAGATTAAAGCTTGATATCATTTGGAATTCTTTTGAACATTAGCCAAGAGGTGCTGTATGAGCTGTCATCTGATAGAGAACACTTATAAATAAATAGATGTATTGGAATTGCAATTTCGGGGATCCCTATGCTTCAGAATGTAGTTGTCATGGAAAAATTCCAGTGGGCTAATAGAATATGTCCACACAAAGCCAAGAGATCAGACAGATGTGAAAGAAAAAAAATGGCCCATATTACTAAGAACAGTTTGCACATCCTAGAGGCCTTTCTAGGGATTCTTCTGCATCCAGATCCCTTCTTCAGCGGTTTCTCTTTGGCAAGATGAAGTCCTTCTCTTCATTAATTTCTGTCTCATGCAGTCTTATGAACTGTTGACCTGAAGTCCTGTCCACCCAATCTTGAGTAGACAGAAACTACATCTATATCCTTACTGCCAATGCCTAACTTGCTTCTGTTGCCTTTGTTCTCAGTTACTTTCAGGCTCCAATTTGAAGGTGTCAGAACAAGGACAAACATTCTGCTTCAGACCCAGCATTGTTCAGGACAATTGAAGTTTCACTCACTCATGAGCTGGAGAGGGGATGAAGGCAATGCCATGGAAACATAGCAGAAAACAGGCTTCACTGTTAGTTGCAAGTGGGGAAAAAGGCCCATAGTAAACTATGTCAAGGAGAAGGCTGAGCTTGGGTAGGATTTTAAATGGCAGACTAATACATAACATTTACACCTTTTTCTTTGAAACATAGCATTTTGCACTTACCATTTCCTCTTGCTCAGCAGAGATAGTAAAAGCCCCAGAAATGAAATAAGCCAGTGAAGCAGACTGCAAGAAATATTCTGAGATTCCTATATAGAACATAGAGTTGTTCTCATTCAGAAGAACAAAGGGAGTTGGCTTGAAGGGGGGTTCTGTGGTTTCTTCCACTGGATAGACTGTTCCCTGAAAAGAATGGCAGAAGTGACAAGATATCATAGCTTGCAAATTTTGGCCTTTAAAACAGAATCAAAAGTTTTCAGGGAACCAGATCACTGAAATGCATACTTGAAATTAAGAGCATAATGCAATAAGACATATGGCCAAATCACCGAGTACAGTTCTAGGACCCTAAATATGGAAAACTCAAAAGTCAAACCTTTTTTAAAAAAAATTAAAAATGAACTGTGATGTGAAGACGTCCCTGAAATCTTGGACTATTTTGGCTTCACAACTCTTGCTACTGGCTAGAGTAGGAAATAATAGATGCAGCCAAAATAGCACTAATTAATATACTTAAATATCTTTGGATATGGCTTGCCATCAAAGCTATTGAGAAAAAATAATGATGCTTATTCCTTCAAATGAATAACAGACATATTGTAATGCAATTTCAGAAAATTATACATTATAAATATATTAGACTTTACCTTTAAATCCAAGTCAATTGATGATTCCAAGATAGTTGAAGAGTTTAACAGGGAATAGTCTATTACTGCAAAGTGACCAATCTGAACTTGGACTGTTGGGATATGGGATAAAATTGTCAGATGCTTAATGACAATAGTCAGGATGCAAACTAGTCCTGATAATGAATTTTTACAAAAGCAATGGTACTAGTACAGGAAACTGCTTGAATAGTTAAATAAATATTGTAAAGCTATATTTTCAACATAATCCTAAGATGTTTGCTTAAGTATAAATTTGCAAAATTTATGTACTTCTGCCATATAAGTTCATTTAGCATCAACCATAATTTTGGTCTTTTTGATGAGACTGCATCCTCCACAAAGTTCTACCAGAACAAGCCATCTCTCATTCGCCATCTAACCAATTTTCCTGTGCATTGGAGAAGGCTGGATTAGATCTGTGTGTCCATTCTGACTCTATAATTTTATGATTCCATAAAACAAGCAAGTTTATTATATTTTTTAATTATGCAAAAGTATCATTCTAGCCATCATTTTTATTTTCAGAAACTCAACCATAGCATGGGGAAATTATTCCGAACTGGAAGCTTTCGTAAAAACTAAACTCATTAGCTCAGTTTGCTAAAACAACCCAGAAAACATACCTGGATATTGGTTGAAGTTTTTATTAATCTTTTGGATCACAAAATTCACTTGATGACACAACTATAGGAATGCAAGCAAAAATTATTATTCTGGTCAATGTTTACTTATATGTTGGTAATAAGATCTTCCTAAGACTTCACAATTCTGCATCTCTATACTTATAGCTTGCTTTATCCTATATTTGAAGAATAGTGATTTTAAAAATCCATCATAATTGAATACATTTGTTGTAATCAATTAAATACATAATCATTTAGAGTAAATCTTACTCTAAATGTGTTGTCCCTCATCAATGAAGTTTGTAGAAACAAAGCGAAACAGAATATTTCTGAAAAATATCCAAGCATGACCTCAGATACCTTTCAAAAGGAAGGAAGCTCTATAATTCTGGAGCATGTAAAAAGTTTTATTCAGCTTTAGAAAGCTGAATAATTCATTCAGTGAGTGCCTCACTATAGTCAGAGAGCCTACATTTAAGCAGAGAATATAATGTACAACAGCAATCCATAAATAAAAAATGATGACAATGATTCTGATGTTTATGGAGTTGAATAATAAATATCCCAAGTGAGATATTTAGAATATTTCAAGTGATGTATTTTGAATGTCTGGACTTATCTTCTGGTATATTACATATGTGATGAAAATAAATACAAGAAAATATTTGCTATATATGTTTTAAATAAATAATAAATAACATATACACTCATTTGAAGCGGCTTAGAAACTTAATTTCTAAGCCACTAAAGGGTCCTTCATTTCCTGTTCTACCATCGATCTGAGCAAAATAAACCATGCCTAAATTTTTTATACAAACACACACACATACATGTACATATACATATAAATATACATTCTATTTATTCAAATAATGCACATGAAACAGCCTTATGAAAACATTCATATGCCACATTAATTCATCTTTTTGTTCTGAAAATGTCTTTATGGCAATTTGTGCACATAAATGGTACACAAGTTATAAACTGCAAAATCCTTATAACATTTTTGCATGTATTAAGGCTTTTGTTATTTATTTTAATAAACATATTTTTAGAAGAAATTGGATGAAGAAAACATTATGAAATAAATCCTTGTGGCTTACATTTGAGGCCAGCACACTACACAGCGATGTTACCACAGAAGTAGTAGAGTATGTATATAACCATCTGAAAAAAAGCAAGAATATTGTTAACTTGAGTTAATTAAATTTTGTATGTGTGCATCTATTATATGGGGAAATCAATCTCAATAAAAGCTAAATGATTCTGAATTTTTTAAACTGATCCCCGAATTTTAGGAGACAAAAGGAGTTGTCATGTTCTTGAATATGGTTGAATCGTTTCCCAATTATTTTTTATTTAGAATATTTATTGCAAATAAATCTGAAGTTATTTTTAGTGAGAAACTGCTCCATGTGTTCAAGATTGTGGCCCTGTACTTTATATTTCCTGATAGTTCTTATTAAAATTATTAGACATATTTTTCCTTCTTAGTCAAATGACTCACCTATATCTGTTGAGTCAATTATGCTGAACCATCAGGAGGAGTGAGCCTCAGAAATATACAGTAATTACTAGGCGTGCTTTCTGTAATATTATGGAATATAGTATTTGTAAGCAATTATCAGTTTGGTAATGTACCTCAGTTTATGTAGCTTACAAAATAGCTCTAAATTTGAGTTAGTGGTATTTATTTTAATGTTAACTCTTGATATTTGAATTTTCAACATGGCTTCTTTTGTGAGATTGAGAACTTTTGGGAATATTAGTAATCTGGAAGCTATTGAAATATACCACTTATGTGAGATTCTGATGACTATGCAGCTCCACCAGAGGAATGACTTCTGCTGTTAATTCTTATCATACTTGAATCAAGTCATGTGACAATTCCCAGTCATCCAACAACAATGGCCACTTTTATCTCATTTCAATGATGACTGGATTATGCTATAAGGACAATATAAATTACGAGAGAGGAAATTATCTAAAACTGGTATAAAAAATAGCAATGAATGCATATACCATATGTTCCAGAGTAAAAATAACACAATAATATCATAATAGGACATGTAATGCAGTGGTTTCCTTACAGTTAACATCAGTAAGCATCCTTAACATATGTTTTCATAGAAGCATGGGCAATTACCTCATTTTATGTCAAACGAGATAAATATTGTCGCTATCTATCTTTCTCAATCTGTCAAAAGTGTGATGATCTAGACAAGCTGTGTTTCTCAAGGCTGGTAGCTTTAAAAAGCATGGATTTCAACTCCCAGAATTCCCTGATATAGGTATATTGCTAGGGAAAGCTCAGTTTATATTCTTCATCTGATATTTCCCAGCCTTGGGCAGAAATTCCAGAGACTGGAAAAGTACAGAGAAATATAATTTTAAATTTGAATTTAAATTTGAAGCATGGTCCTTAACATTTTCTGGATTTAGGAATGTGTTCCTTTCATTTCAATTCTCCCAAGGGAATGTATACTGTATCCTGTACTTAGTGTAGGGGGAAATGAGGTTAATGCAGACTTAAGGTACATTTGGGGTAATAGTAAAAGCTACACATACCAGTGTTTAAAAACTGATAATCAAAATGTTTTAGGGATCCTAAAATCAATACTTGCAAATATACTTTTTAATTAGAACATTTTCCATTATACCTATAAGATTGATTCAGTTTGATGTCCATATCATCTATATCTCCTTTACAGCTGTCAAGCGACAATTTTAAATGACCAAATACATTCTGAGACACTTTTACAATTGCTGTGAGAGATATTCCTGAGATGAAGACAGCCCCTCTTCCAGAATCTTTGCTGCGGACAAGAAGACACAAAATGCTCATTTTATCATCTTGTTCTCAAGAAAATGCCAGGATTGCTTTAGAATTACATAACAAAATAACCTCTAAGTTTAAACATAAACACAAAAATGTATACATATACATGTCTAATAATGAAAGTAAAATATTTTATTTTGTATTTTATTTCTCATTGAGATTTAATAAAGTTAATAAAAAAATAAAATGCCAGGATTGCTTATGCTGAAGAATACATGTTAGCAATATAACATAGCTAAAAATCTCAAAGCCTGCCTTCCAGATGCATCATCTCATTTCTTGCTGACATCTCTGGATAGCAGTAAACTATGGAAAGTTGATGCAAAATCAACTATGCCCAAATACATCAGAAGTATCTGCCAGAACGGCAATTCCACTCACCCGAAACAATGTACAGGTAGTCCTCAAATTATGATCACAATTGAGCCCAAAATTTCTATTGCTAAGCAAGACATTAGTTAAGTGAGTTTTGCCCCATTTTACAATCTTTCTTGCCACAGTTGTTAAGTGAATCACTGCTGTTGTTAAAGTTAGTAACCTGGTTGTTAAGTGAATCTGGCTTCCCCATTGACTTTGCTTGTCAGAAGGCTGCAAAAGGGGATCATGTGACCCTGGGACTCTGCAACTGTCATAAAAATGATTCAGTTGCCAAGCGTCTGAATTTTGATCACGTGACCATGGGGATGCTGCAATGGTCATAAGTGTGAGAAATGGTCCTAAGTCACTTTTTCCAGTGCTGTTTATAACTTCAAACGGTCACTAAACAAACTGTTATAAGTCTAGGGCTACCTGTAACCACCTGAGGTTTATTCAGTGGGCACACATTTGCATTCTTACAACGTTGGTTCTATTTTTAGGCAGGATAAGATCATTGTCTGTGGTTGCAGATGCTGAGGGCAGAGGGATGCAGCTGCTCCCCTTAACTGCTTGCTCCCCTTAACTTCCTGAATCTCCCTATTTGCTACAGTATGTGAACCAGGATAAAACCATCTTTTTAATTAATCCAGGTTTTCCCTTTGCCTGCAAAAATCTAGAAGTTGGAGTTTTTTAGCCTTAAATATGTCTAAATATGTATTTCTTCAAGAGGAAGACTGTCTGATCTTGCAAGAAGGCAGAAGTTTTTATCCCTTTGCAACACCTTCCAAGGAACTCAAGATGAAGCACATAACCCTAGTTCTATTATTTATTCTG